GTGTTTAGGGCTTTCGGGGCAAGAGGACTTCAAAATTCAGAGCTTCTGGGGCTTTGGGGTTGCGGTCTCAACCTTAAACTCCCCTCCTCCCCCGAGAAAAGAACATCATGTCGGACCTAAACCCTAATCCCCTAAACCCCTAAACTCCTAAACCCTGAGCCCTAACCCTAAACCCTAAGCTCAAAAGCCTCAACCCTAAACCCTCAAACCCTAAACCCCAGAACCCCCAAACCCTAATTAAACCCTAAACCTCAACCCTCAACGCTGAACCCTAAACCCTAAACCCCAAAACCCCTGAACCCAAATTAAACCCTCAACCCTAAACCCTAAACCCTCAACCCGTGAACCCTAAACCCCAAAAACCCCAAAACCCTAAAACCCCAATTAAACCCTAAACCCTACACCCTAAACCCTACACCCTAAACCCTAAACCCTAAACCCTAAACCCTAAACCCTAAACCCTAAACCCTAAACCCTAAACCCTAAACCCTCAACTCACCACAGGCCTGACAGCGGCTGGCGCTCGAAGTCGTCCTCGAGCCGCTCGAAGCTGTCTGCACCTGGACAGCTCCCGAGACCAAGAGTGCTTTAGGGTTTAGGGTTTAGGGTTAGGGTTTAGGGTTTAGGGTTTAGGGTTTAGGGTTTAGGGTTTAGGGTTTAGGGTTTAGGGTTTAGGGTTTAGGGTTTAGGGTTTAGGGTTTAGGGTTTAGGGCTTAGGGCTTAGGGCTTAGGGCTTAGGGCTTAGGGCTTAGGGCTTAGGGCTTAGGGTTTAGGGATGTTCTTTTCCAAGCAACTTTGCGCGGGCTAAAACCAAATACGCAAACGGCAGGTCACCTAATTATTAGTCTACATATACTTATAACTGATTTAGAGCCCTCAGGGGGCTGATAAGTAAGTACAGTATTCGCCTGCGGAAGCCTTGCCCCTGCATCTGCAACATCGCCAAAATCTGTCACGATGACTTGGCATTTTGGTTCCACGCACCAGTCCAACACGTCACAGCAGCCAGAGCTGTTTTCGCTCTCCAACACCCCGAAGATCAGGCGCAAAGGAAAGTAAATGTGCGGTAACTCAACCTTCTCGCGGGTTTTCTGATCCGGCTTAGGGTTTAGGGGTTGAGGGGCTTAGGGGCTTGGGTTTGGTTTAGGGTTTCGGGCTTCATTTTTCAAGTTTATGGCTGTGGGTTGGGAGTTAGCGCCAAAGATAGAGCGGCCACCGAACATCTCAGCCGTCTACGGGTCTCATCACTAGTGTCTTAGGGTCTTAGGGTCTTGGGGTCTTGGGGTCTTCGGGTCTACGGACTTAGGGTCTTAGGGTCTCAGGGTCTCAGGGTCTTAGCGTCTCAGGGTCTCATGGTCTTGGGGTCTTTGACCTCAACAGCGGCTCCAAACAAGTCTTGAATTTTACGAAAGACCTCAGGGATGGGGATGTGGGGCGTCCGCAGAAGATTGGGGCCGAGGCTGCTTAAGGTTCAATGGCGCGTGCTTCAGGGTTTAGGGTTGAGGGTGTTAAGGTTTCGGAGTCAGGTTCAGGGCAAAGTAAGTCGATCATCCCTAAACCCTAAACCCTAAACCCTAAACCCTAAACCCTAAACCTCGTAGCAAGGCCTGCCACAGGTCCCTTAAACTACTATTTGCTTGAGAACCCCGTTTAGGGTTTAGGGTTCAGGGTTTAGGGTTTCGGGTTTAGGGTTTAGGGTTTAGGGTTTAGGTTTAGGGTCTAGGGTTTAGGGTTATAGACCCCAAATAGCAGGATTCCTTTATGGCCAGGACCCCAATTAAGGTACCCCGAAAGTCAGACATCCCCATTTATGGTTTACAGTTCTTGGTCCAGGCTCTCTTGCCAAAGAAACCTCATGCCTCAAGCCTAAACCCTGACCTTAGGACATTCAACCCTAAACCCCAAACCCCAAACCCTAAACCCTAAACCCTAAACCCTAAACCCTAAACCCTAAACCCTAAACCCTAACCCTAAACCCCAAAACCAAAAGACCTCAACCATAGACTACTAAACCTGAGACCCAACACAGCCTACGATGGTGATGTCATCGGGCAAACCATCGCGCTGGACCTGTGCTATGCTATCGAGTTTAGGGTTTAGGGTTTGGGGTTTAGGGTTTAGAGTTTAGGGTTTAGGGTTGGGGGTTGGGTTTAGGGTTTAGGGTTTCGGACGCAGTGGGAGCTAACTGGTGTGGGGAGGGGGGGGGGGGGTTGCGGGTTTAGGGTTTCAGAGTTTGGGGTTTAGGGTGAAGGGTTTAGCCAGGGGTTTATTTTGGTGTTTAGATTAGGGCTTCGTTTAGGGTTTAGAGCTTTGTTTAAGGCTCTTGTTGGGCCTCTATGACAGTCGATTCCTTCCAGTTCAGAATGCGGCCAAGGGTCGAAAGGTTGAGGGCTGGGGGCCCCCCTAAACAAAAAACCAGGAACCCTGAACCCTAAGCCCTTTTGGTATCTTTGACTTAGATTCAAAAAAGAGCAAAAAAACCTAACGGCCATAGTACCCCGAATCCCAGCACAGAAGTGGAGAGGGTTAGGGCTTTAGGGTTTTAATTGTTTAGGCTTGAGGGTTTAAGGGGATCAGGGTGTAGGATTTAGGCGTTTTAGGATTTCGGGGGGGGGTGGCAGAAGCAGAGTACTACATTGCTATGACAAGCACACGTTGAAACTGGGTCCCTCATGTCGAGACCTCCTACAATCACATTGTCCTTACAAAAGCCCCCAAACCCTGAACCCTAAACCCGAATCTCAGCATGTCGGAGCTGCCACCTCTTATCTTGGGACCTGTTCCCCCGCATACTAGCAGTCCTTAATCAGGACTATAGTATCCCCGATGATAATACCCATTAAGGACTGTCCTTAATCAGGAATAAAGTATCCCCTCTTCTAAGGACTGTTAGTGAAAGGGGGAAAGTGTGATCCATATTAAGGACTGAGGACGAGAGTATAAGGGGCACATGATACTCCCTAATAAGGACTGTTAGTATAAGGGGGAACATCCCAACTGAAATCGTTCATTTCGGACGATAGCCTAGTCTTCCGACAAGAGACGCAGACATGGGTATTTCACTAAAAGGGGGACTCCGTTTACAGCCCAAATAGGACCCCCGTAAAGGGACGAAAAAGAGTACCCCTATTTTCCATCACCCCCCACATCGATTGACGATCCCTGGGCCATAGATGATGCGTAGTCATTACGGGAATCGGATGGGCCATAGGACATTTAGCATGTCTTCTAAATCGCTCATGGGATGTTCGCTTGAGCTTCCCGATCTTCGCGTCCTAGAGTTTGGGATTTCAGGCAATAGGGCATAGCTAGGAGTTCATGGGTAGTCTAGGCTGTCATGGTTCAGGGCTTTTCAAGGCGGGCTTACTTGTAAAGCTTTCGTAACCCTAAACCCTAAACCCTTAACCCTAAACCCTAAGCCCAGGGTTTCTCGCTTTTTGGGCTTGGGGTTTTTGATCTGCTGCTGGGGCAGACGCCGAAGCTTCGTTCTTGTTCACGGCAGCCTTCCTGGCATGCAACTGTGCCGCGTGAGGACATACTTAGGGTTGGGGGTTTAGGTTTTAGGGTTTAGGGTTTAGGGTTTAGGGTTTCGGGTTTAGGGTTTAGGGTTTAGGGTTTAGGGTCTAAAGTGGGGCTTAGGGCTGGGAGTTTCTTGGTGTACTTAGCCTACCGAACCCTCTTGTTCCTATGCGCCTGGCTTGCCAGGATTCCAAGGATGCCAATCAGAAGCCGGGGAATACAAAAAACCCAACCCTAAACCATAAACCCCTAAACCCTAAACCCTAAACCCTAGACCCTAAACCCTAAACCCTAAACCCTAAACCTGGAGATCGGAGTGAAGTTCTGTCCTGAATGCTGGTTACCCTGCTCGACCTACTTTAGCGCCAAACTGTTGTGGACCAAGAGGTTTAGGGTTTAGGGTTTAGGGTTTAGGGTTTAGGGTTCAGGGTTTGGGGTTTAGGGGGAGTCTCTATCTCATTTGCTCATCAGCTTCCCTTCTCTAGAACATTCCAGAAAATGAAAGTATCAGCTTTCTGATCGGAGCATGTCCGGCAATATGGGTGGCTACTGTTGGAGCCCTTTCACAGGACGAAAGAGGAATCCACATCACATTCCTTATCTGAAAGATGCAACAAAACCACAAGTCCGAACCCTACCGAGTCTACCGCACTCAGGGTTTGGGGAGGGGTTTAGGGTTTAGGGCTTAGGGTTTAGGGTTTAGGGTTTAGGGTTTAGAATTTAGGCCCAGTCAAGTGGACCTCAGCGCACTGAGGATTGCCTTGGCATCTTCGAACGTCCATCGGTTGGGTTTGGGGTTTGGGATTTGCGGTTTCGGGTTCGAAGGGGTCGAGGGTCTTGGGGGAGTGTAGGGTGGAGGCCTGGGAGCCGTTCATTCTTCACAGACTCCTAAGCTCCTAAACCCCTAAACTCCTAAACCATGGTGAGCTGAACTATGGCGTTCCGACACGAGGTTTGGAGGTTCCGGGTTTCGGGCGTAGGGTTTAGGGAGCTTAGGGCAAGGAGCTCATCCGCAACTTCTTAGGATTCTGTAACGGTGACATGTGCTTAAGTCACCCTGCATTAACTACTAATAAACCTTACAGCGCACTCTAAGCCCTAAACTCTAAACCGGAAAACCCTAAACCCTAAACACTAAACCGTAACCCCTAAACCCCACCCTAAACTACTCTTGTAGATGAAATGCTTGAGGATGCAGTTGCGTTGCTTGAGGTTTGGTGACCATACCATGGCCAATTCCCGGATTTGCTCCGGGCTCAGATTGAGCGCATGCGCCACAAAGGCGTGAAACTCAAAAAGTCGGAAGGACTGAAGAGGGGCCACTGCTTCAGCGGTCTGTACGCAACTAGCTTGGGATAGAATGAAAAGGGAGTATCAGCGGGATGTTGCCAACAAGTAGCCCTCATCCTTCAATCTCATCAGCTCTTTCGCCACGGCCTCCTCAGCATTGGTCCACGGGGAGATCCCATTCGCAACCTCCTTCAGTGCAGCGCTTGCATTGGCCATGGCGATGCCGCAGCCCGCGATTTGGAACATATCAACGTCGTTGACCCCATCACCGAAAGCCAGGACATCTTCCGCACGAGGTGGTCGCAAAGCCTCTGAATGGTGAAGCCCTTGTTTATCCCAAGAGACTTCATGGAGACCGTGGTGCTCGGAGGAAGGGGTAAGACTTCCAGCTCAACACAGGCCTGCTGAAGCCTTTTGGCTAAGTTTCGAGCCATGCCCTCTGGATCAGCCGACGCCACCGAACAAACCTCGAGCGTGCGGTCCTCCTCAATAATATTCTGCAAGCTGTCATGAGCAAACAAGCTGTCGGGGTCCGCGTGTTGCCTCATCCACTCGTCGGACTCTTTGACCCCTGTGCGTCCGACCTTCACATGGATCTTACCACACTGAAACAACCACACTGTAGTGCCCTCCTCCTCAGCAGCCTGCACAGCTGCGGAGGCTTGCGTCTTCGACAGCCCTTGCGGTGCAAAGACTTCCTGGAACCCATCAGCGCACCTCTTGAGGCACACTGCGCCCCCATAGATGACCAGGAACAGTGGGCCCGGTAGGCCATCCAGGCACGGCAGCTCGTTCAGGCCGCGAGCTGTGGCCAAAACCAGGGGGCAGGAATCGCTGATGACCTGGTTTAAGACCTCCTTGGTCCCCTTGCTGATCTGACAGCCAGAGTCCTCATCGCCCAGCAACGTTCCATCAAGGTCCGAGATGACCATGCGAAACGGGGCGACGCGTCGGCCGTCTTCATCTGCATTCTTCATGCTTTCAACCACACCTAAGCAGGCCAGAACCACAACCCTCAAGGGTCAAAACTCAGGGTTTAGGGTTTAGGGTTGGGTTAGGGAAATAAGCAGCTGAGGAGACATTTGAATACGGCAAGCCAGCCACTGCGGCGAGCACATCACACAGCGGAGGGGGGGCCAACTTGTTCTCAAGGGTGATCTCCCAAGGCATTTCGAAACATGACCCCGCCGATGGCTAATGGCGCTTTGCAGCTGAGCAGCCAAGGACGGTTACTACATGACATGCCCCAGCAACTCTCAAGGGTGTTAGGGTTAGGGTTTAGGGTTTAGGGTTAAGGGTTTAGGGTTTAGGGTTTAGGGTTTAGGGTTTAGGGTTTAGGGTTTAGGGTTTAGGGTTTAGGGTTTAGGGTTTAGGGTTTAGGGTTTAGGGCTTAGGGCTTAGGGCTTAGGGTTTATGTTTTTAGGGCAGACCCGAAACACCCACCCGGGTAACCGCTGAGACCCCAAACCCCACACAACAGTCTCAAAGGTTCCCTTTACTCTAAACTATGTGAACCCCCAAAACCGAGCCCCACACCCTCCGGGAAGCCCTAAACACAAGACTCTGAAGCCCTGAACTCTCCAATGAGGCCCTCTCAACCCCAAAGACCCAAAGAGCCAACCGCATCAACCCCCAACCCCCCAACCCCCAAACCCCCAAACCCCCAAACCCCCAAACCCCAAACCCCTAAACCCTAAACGCCTAAACCCAAACCCCTAATCCCCTGAACCCCTAAACCCTCACCGCGGGGCCCCAACTACGTCCGGCTGAACTCCGGCGGCTTCGGCCCTTTGATACCAAAGCTCTGCTGCGGAGATGTCGCCCTGCCGTGCTTCATGGGTTGTTACAGGGGTTTAGGGTTTAGGGTTTTGGGTTTCGGGTTTAGGGTTTAGGGTTTAGGGGTGCGCTGGTTGCGTTTGGGGTGCATGGAAATGTCTTGGTCTTGGTTGCGTTTGGGGTGCATGGATTTGTGGGTGCCTTCAGTGTTTTTTTTTCGTAGTTTTTTTTTTTTGTTTTCTGCCTTTCCTTTGCTGCTTTTGCTCAGCGACTCAACCCTCGATGCCACCATCCAAACAGAAAACCCAGGGAACTTTGAGTTGGCGCCTGAGACTGACACGTTCACAGTGGCAGCTCCAAGCGCAGAGCTGGAAGCCATGTAGCCTAAACCCTAAACCTTAAACCCTAAACCCTAAACCCTAAACCCTAAACCCTAAACCCTAAACCCTAAACAAGAAGACGCTGGGTTTACGTACTTCGTAGGGACCTCTTGCTACCTGCCCCGAACTCAGGCCCTGAGAAACATTCTAGATTCTAGACCACTCCTCCCCTGCTCATTCCACTCCTCTTAAACACACCTACCCCTTCCCAGAACTTTTGGAACTGGTAGAACACACCTAGCGATTCCTTACCTGTCAGAACTCTTAGAACTTTGAGAACTGAACTTGTAGAACTGTCGACAGTTGAAGACGCTCCGAGGTCCTGGATACTGCTGAAACTTTCGAAACTGTTAGAACTTGTTTTAGAACGACGCTCAGAGATCCTGTTTTACAACTTTTAGAACTGTTAGAACTAGAAAGGACGCTCTGAGATCCTGCATACAGTTGGAACTTTTACTTTTAAAACTTTTAGAACTTTTCCAACTGTCGAAAGTTGAAGGCGCGCTGGGATCCTGGATACTGCTGGAACTTTTGGAACTTTTGAACTTTTAGAACTTTTCGAACTTTCAGAACTTTCAGAACCTTTAAACTTGTAGATTGGGAGCAGACCTTGCGTGGAGTGAACTTCCTGCGAAAAAATGCGGAAACGTAGGATTTCCGAGCTTAAAAAACCACGTGCCCCCAAGTGCAAAGAAGGCATTCCCACGGGCCGCTCCAACTGCTGCCAACCCTTAGGGTCCAGGGTTTAGGGTTTAGGGTTTGGGGTTTAGGGTTTAGGGTTTAGGGTTTAGGGTTCAGGGTTTAGGGTTTAAGGTCCAGGGTTGAGGGTTTAGGGTTTAGGGTTTTAGGGGTTAAAAGTATGGCAACTAACGATCTAACCCTATTGTCGGGTACAAGTACTTACATCCCTACCTATAACTTTCAGGAACCCTGTACCCTCAACTTCTAACCACCATCCTAACGCCCTCAACCTCTTACGCCTGCATCCAAAAACCCACAGGAAGCCTAAACCCTAAACCCTAAACCCTAAACGATAAGCCCTAAATCCTAAACCCTAAACCCTAAACCATTCCTGCGCTGAGTTCTCCGAAGCCCTGAGCCCTAAGAACCCTAAATGTGCCGAAGCCCCCACATGACTGCCAAGAGCACTGCCCTGGGCCCGGAGAGCCCTTCATACTCGACACCTCAAATCTCCTAAACCCTAAACCCTAAACCCTAAGCCCGAAACCCGAAACCCTAAACCCTAAACCCTAAACCCTGCCTTCTGGGCCGCACACTCGATGAGCGCTGTGAAGTCTTCCTTGAGGGGAGTTGGTTTGTTGAGTTTAGGGTTGAGGGCTCGGCGTTTTCAGGTGGAATGCTTAGGGTTTTGGGTTCGGTTCTCTGAGGAAACCCCAGACTCGAAACCCCACAGAGGCGCCAAAACTGAGTTTCAAGCTGCAAGGCACATGCAAAAATGCAGAAGAACACCGGGCTTACGGTCGGTGTTACTTCCCGCGCGCTTCCCGTGCATCCATTCACCAGAGCATCCAAGCCCCAATGACGATCACAAAGTCCAATCCTCAACCCCAAGCCCTACATCCGAAAGTCCCGAAACCTGCCAAACAAAAAACAAAACTTCAGTATTAATAATAAGAACAAAACAAGTAATACTAACAAATAATAATAATGATAATATTCATAACAACAGTCATACAAACAATAAGAAGAAGAGGAAGAAGAAGAATAATACGGGACCTCAGGGAGTAATGTAGTGGCTACTTAGGAATATAAGGACTATGTAAGGTATATAGGGGTTACATGAGGGTTTCCCAAAAGTAGGGGGTACCTTCTTGGGGTCCTAAACCCAACCCTAACCCTGCTCGAAAGAGAAAAACCAGCTCCTGCGAAACGCCCTTGAAGCCCCTGCGAAGAACTTTCCGGGACAGGATTTAGGCTTTAGGCTTTAGGGTTTGGGGTTTAGGGTTTAGCGTTTAGGGTTTAGGTTTTTGGGGTTTAGGGTTTAGGGTGACTGTAAGGCAAGAACAAAAGACCAGCCAGGAGCTTGCAAGATCCAAGCACATTTCAACAACCTGGCCCTGGAATTGATTTCCCGAACCCGCGTCCACGGCCCCATTGAACTTCCGAGCAGATACTTAGACTCCAAAGGGGGACAACAACAATAATATGCTGATAGTAACAAAAAAATAGTACTAACAGTAATACTAAATGAAAGAGAAAAAGAAAAACAAAACCCTTAAGCCCTAAACCCCAAACCCCAAACCCTAAACCCCAAACCCTAAACCCTAAACCCTAAACCCTAAACCCTAAACCCTAAACCCTAAACCCTCCGGTGCGCCTTGTTCAAGGCTGCGCCGGCCTTCTCGGCGCGCTCCAGCCACACCAGGGTCTTGGGCATGTCCTTGGGTGGAGTTAGGGTTTAGGGTTTAGGGTTTAGGGTTTAGGGTTTAGGGTTTAGGGTTTAGGGTTTAGGGTTTAGGGTTTAGGGTTTAGGGTTTAGGGTTTAGGGTTTAGGGTTTAGGGTTTAGGGCTTTGGGTTCAGAAGTTGGGTCAATCATGCTCAAGGGCTTAGGGTTTAGGGTGTAAGGGCTTGCAAGATAAAGGGCCTGGGAGGTTTGGGGCCCAAACCCTGCAGAAGCCTAAATTCCCCTCTGACTCTAACCCCTGGAAACCCCTCCTCTAAATGCTCCCAAACGCAGTACCTAAATCCACTCAAACCCTGGACACCTAACCCCTAAGCCCTGACCTCTGAACCCTGAATGAACCCTAAACCCTAAACCCTCAAGGCCAGGATACATACAAATTGTATGCGTTTCATTACGAGCAGCTCGCACAATAACCCTTCATCCTTCACAGTTAAAAAATTCAGACAATGGCGTGGCTTTCCGGCCCCCTCCAAAACCCTTAATGCTCGAAGCATAACAAAAGCAAAAGACAAATTTTGTTCAAAAACAAAAGGAAATGCAAAAGAAGAAACCAAAAAAAAAAAAAACGCCAAAAGTCAACCTCGGACACAAACCCTGCACAATTTCTATAAAACCTAAGCCTAAACCCTAAACCCTAAACCCTAAGCCCCAAGCCCTAAACCCTAAACCCTAAACTTGATGCACTGAGAGCCAGGCTCCGGCTTTGGCGGTCGCCCGCGCCAGGTTCTGAAACGTGGTGCCCTACGGCTGGGGTTTGGGGTTTAGGTTTTAGGGTCTAGGGTTTAGGATTTAGGGTTTTGGGTTTAGGGTTTAGGTTTTAGGGTTTAGGGCGTGGGGTTTGGAGTTCAGGGTTTGGGGGTTTAGAGTTTAGGGTTTAGGTTTTAGGGTTTAGGGCGTGGGGTTTGGAGTTTAGGGTTTGGGGGTTTAGACTTTAGGGCTTTAGGGTTTAGGGGTTGAGGGTGTGGGGTTTCGGGTTCGGGGTTTAGGGGTTCGGGTTTAGGTTTAGGGTTTGGGGCTTAGGGGTTTAGGGTTTAGGGTTTAGGGGGTTGGGGTTTAGGGGCTTAGGGGTTCAGTGGTTCATGGGTTTAGGGGTCCAGGGGTTTAAAGGTTTAGGGCTTAGTGTTTAGTTGGTTCGGGTTCAGGGTCTAGGGGGCTAAGAGTTTGGGGATTTAGGGTTTAGGGTTTAAGGGTTTGGGGTTCGGGGCTTGGGCTGTATGATCTAGGGTTTAGGCTTTAGGGGCTCCATGTTTTGGGTCCATCTTTCGGGGGCTTGGTCTTTCACGGGTTTGTTGGGGGGCTGAAGGGTTTAGAGTTGTTTGGGCACCTGAACCTAGGACGGTTTGTTTGAGGCGCAGTGCATCAAGGGCTTGAGCCAATGGGGCCGCAACCCTAAAC